GAGGTGTTTGTTACGCCCGTTCCCGCCGCCAGACTCAGGTTGATGGTAGAGTTGGTGGTGGTGGTGCTGGTCTGCTGATTGCTGTGGTGGCACAGCGTGGAGCTACCGGTGGCCGTGGCCGTGGCAGCGGCCGCCAGGTACAGCTGGAGGGGAGACGCGTACGAGGGCTGGGTGCCCAGAGCCTGGTGGCTGCCCATCGAGGGGAATATGAAGTTGGGCAGGTTGGGCAGATTGGACAGACTGGTCAGGTTTGGCTGCGACGGCTGCAACGAGGCGGCGGCGGCGGCCGCAGCGGCAGCGGCGGAAGGACCTCCGGCCGTGGGCGCTTGGGGAATATAGGCCGAGGGCCAGACGAAGGCCGCCGCAGCCGCTGCCTGCTGGAACGGATCTGTGGGCGTTAAGAGGGGAAAATTTGATATGCCTGCTGTGCATATGGACGTGGTAGCGATTCAGTTTAGTCGGAGATTCGATATCGAAATTGAAGATTGGAGTTTGGATTGGTATTGGTATTGGTATTGGTATTGGTGGAGGGTGTGGAGGGAGAGAAGCGCAGTTGTAAAAGCATGAATTAGTTTGGTTTTGGCGAAATCATATTAACCTAGGACACCTAGGAAGTGGCTGGCATGCGGAGTGCGAATGTAAAGGTATATGAGGGAGATCATCCTCGGGCTCACTTACCGAGCGCTGCTGGGGCGGCCGGAAGGAGGACCACCTGTCCACGGCTAGCCTCCCGGGAGTACTGCAGGCCCACCGTGGCGGGCGACATGGAAATCACTGATTCAATGGGTAATGCATCTACAAAACAAAGCAACGGAAAAGAGAGAACCAAATAGAGTGTGGGAGACGGTGTTGTTGGTCTTCAGGTGGGCTATGACGATGACAGGGGTCTTGGGCTACTAGCACTCACTTGGATACTGCCAAAATGTGGAGGGTGCTCGGTTCAGGGCCAGCTCGTCGGCGGTGGTGCTGCCGGTGGTCATCAGGTCGCCGTTGCCCGTAAAGTACAGATTGCCGCAACTGGTGGCTCCTGCAACAGAGAGAAATATAGTTGAATTAATTATTCCGTATTTTCGATCCATTAATGTACATCAAAATCCTTTTATGGCCCGATGCCAACCTCTCTGCTCGACGTTCGTTTGTTTAATAAATTTTCTGGCCTCTGCTGCGAGTGAGTGAGTGAGTGCGTTACTTCAGATGTAAGCGATGATGTGTATGTATACGTAAAATATTGCAATGTCCTTGAACTATGCATTTGGTCACCGCGCGTGCCTCCCAACCACCCACCACCACCCAACCATAACATCACACATCAGCCCAGCCAGCCATCCAGCCATCCAGCCAGCCAGCACATCCGGACATCAGATTTCGATCCAGAATCAGAGTCAGAATCCACCCAGTATCTCGACCAGAATCCAGTACCCCAGTAACCCACCACTTACCTACCACCTTTCCCGGCCCTGCGGCTAGATAATTTCACAAAAATTCGATTAAGCCGTACGTGCTGCTCTGTAATTGCATTACATTAAGGGATCGGTTCCATTGAAAAAGACGTAGACCACCGCACCACCCCATAAGTATGCAGTCGAAGACGTTGCCGAAATGAATGACAAGTACTGGGATGTGCCTATCACAGGGCTTGGGCTCCCATATCTAAACGCAATTAATGATACATTTTTGACAAGTGAGTTATTCGGGGAAACTTCCCGGCAAACGTTTATAAATAGCATGAAAAAAACAATAACGAAGGAAGATGCCATATGGTCGCAAACCCGAACCATTCCGTCGTGTCATGTTGCTACGTCCCGGCCTGGCCTGACATGTCCCGTTTACGGTTCTAGTCCTCGGTTAGATCCGGTTTCCACGACTCCGTGTAACCAGTCGAGCGCAGCATCACCGCTAGCATCCCTTGCGGCTAAAGGAGCCCCGCAGCTCTTCCTGCCCCCTGGATGGTGCACGACGCACCACCTTCGCCGAGCAACAGCTACGCTAACTTGTCTGCGTCTGAAAACACCCACCCGAGCACCGTCCATGAGTAATCCGGCTTTAGACATTGAGTCCGCCTCCTCCTCAACGCTTCGCCGGAGCGTGATAACAAAAGTCGAAACCCACGATGCCCTATTCTTGGACGGAGCATGAGTAAGCCGGAAACTTTTCCATTTTTGCTTGATGAATTTAAAGCTCAAGTTTTCGTCCAAAAATAACCGAAAGAGGTCTAACCGCAAGAATTCTCGATAAGGTTTGTACGAAAGTTTTGGGAAAATCAAGACATTAACAAAAGTTTCTGTTTTCTTAGTTGAATCGGAAAGTTCCAGCATGAGTAAGTGCATCAAGAATTTATCAGCTGAACTATTCCATTGAAATCCCACATCAAAGTGAAGTTTATTTTATTTTCAGCCGATATTTTCTTTCCAATGTAATCCAGTTATTTCTGAATGGATTCTCTTTAGGATTAGCAGTATCTTTGGGACTCCATACCGTGTTCAATTGATTCCCAATAGCTTTCTCAGCTTTTTTAATCTCTAAAAAACATATGTCATATTCCAAAACATTTAGAAAAAATCAAAGAAAGCAATTAACACCAATTAGTGCCACATTGGTGGATAGATCAGAAATGGAATCAGTTCAGATGAAACATACCACCACCGACCAGCGAAAACCCACCCTTTAAAATGTAAACAGATTTGACGAAGCCATCTGATTAGACAGAGTACTCCCAAGTCGACCAAATCCTCCCTGCCGAAATCGCACTGTGTTTCACTTTCGTTTCATTTCCGCTATAGGAGTTCATATGATTTACCACCAGTTTCCTTATATTTATGTGCGTTCTGATGTCCTCCACCGACCAGGGGGAGAAGACTCGATTCGAATTGAAGTCGAGTCGCCCAATTCGGTGGCTGTCACAACAACGACAGCCGCACAACAGGCGGCCATCATATGATTCCTGTGCTCTCAATTCTGACGGGGTGTGTGCGCCGGACACCCTCGCCGCTGCTCCTCTGACTCACTGCCGGAATTTGTTGGTGTTCCCAGTTTGCAGGCAATCTTATTAGTGGCATAATTGAACGACGTTCACGTCCTGGCATCATAAGCATCGTAAAGACGCCCCTGGGGACGCGGCCTGTCGTTCATTAGAGGCACACAAATCTGGACACTTAAATTGAATTAGATGCCGCCTGAAGACCATTTCGGTCGTCGCTGGTGCATAAATTATATAAAAATAATATAGCTATGGGCCACTAACTTAAAAATATATTCTGGAAAGCCTCGGCTTCAATACTCGGCTAGAATTCTTAGAATACTGAACATCATTAATATAATAAGGACAAAGGATAAACACTTCAGAAACCATCAAATATTTCCATCCCTAAACTCACCGAGGTCTGCGACTCGTATGCCAAAGCAGTTCATGTCCTTGTTGAGTGGTGGCTGCAACGGAAGCGTGGCAGGAGGGTTTAGCGCTGGCACTAGGGCTTCCTGCGGCCGCTTCCTAGCCACGGCGATGCCAATGGGCACTGAGTTGTCTGGGGGAGGAAGAGAAATGATTTCGGTTAGAGGCGTCACCGGACCGGAAAGTGCGGGGCGGCAACCTACTTGAGGACTTCTCCAGGTCGGCGACCTTCGGCGATGGCGCCTCGATCTTGACGAGAGTTGTGAGAGTGGACGAAGACATGGTCTTGGAAGTGGCCGAGGCGGTGACCGACCCCTGAAGATGCGGCTGTGACGGATGGGCCGCCTGATGCGGCGATTGCTGCTGATGGCAATTGTTGGAACTAATCTCTGACACCTGGCAGGGTTCCCGTTTGATCTGCACAAAGGTGTACGAGGAGTTGGTCTGCTGCTGATGGTGGTGACCCGCTGAGTAGCCACCGAACTGGTCCAGTTGCAGGTGGTGGTGCGGGGGACCCGACACCGAAATGGCTCCCGCCTGGGTGGCTCCCGTTGTGGGAACCAGGAACGTGGCCGTGGTCGTGGCGCTCAAGACATCGGCGGCTGCGGCGGCGGCACTGCTGCTGGCGCTGGCATTAAAGGCGGCCATTGGACGATCCTCGAGATCTGCTCCAGATCTAGACGCTGATGGGGCTAACTAGAGTCGCGGCTCTGGGTGGGGGGCCTGCCGCATCGCTGGCGCCCCGAAAAACGGGGGTGGGAGATATTATGATGCGGCGCAGATATGGCCTGCCCGTGCACATATATCTCAACTATATCTATATCTACGCGTATTTTTATACGTCCATTATCCGCTCACACACACACTAGCACTACCACTAACACTAACACCAGCACACGCACACAGTCTACATTTTTACAGGTTTTCGCTGCCTCTCGCGGATGCAACATTCAGTTGTGGATTCCTCGCGTCTGGCCCATAAACAAATGACATAATCCAAGCGACGCGACCTGCACAGGCTGTATCCAAAGCACGAGCTCCTGGGTTTGGAATGTTTCCAATTCGATCTGGAAGATTTCAGAGGCGGCGGAGGCGGAGGAGGAGGCGAAGGCGCGATGTTGCGTTTTTTATAGCTTTCTGCGTGGTCCGCGTCACGTTTTCACCGCTGCGATCGCTATCAGCGTACTTGAGGATTTTTGCAAAAGCTAGGGCTCTATCCCAATATTGTTTATTTTTATTTGCGAATTAGAAATTCCTGGAGGAAAGTCTAAAAAAGTGTAATTGTTATCTGATTCCAAGATTCAGTTCAGTTGAACTGACTCCCAGTTTTAGTGCTGCCACATCGCTTACCCATTTTCCAACACCAAATCCTTTCACAGTGTTGGCCATTGCCATCCCTGGCCAAAATATCGATAGTTTTAGGAATTTTTGATTTTTGAATTATCCCTCTATATCCTAAAACAAATTTCCACTTAAATTAATAATAAATTTCTAATTAAATCTTATTGCTTTATAAATAAAATGGTTTTATTAATTGATAATTTACTTATCTCTTCTAATCCCAAACGATGTTTGGGCACCTGTAAATCAGCTGTCGCTCAATGTGAATGGCAAAAGGTGAAAGAAGAGGAAGAAGCTGCGATTTGTGTACGTGTGTGTTTTGAGTTAGCGACGTGGTGATTACCACGGAACCGATCCGATCCGATCCCCGATAGAATCCAGCACTTCCATGCAGATGCGCGTTCCTCTCCAGCGAGCAGCCCTGCTGCTGCCTCTCATCCTAATCCTCGGCACGGCGAGAGGGCAACGCGTCGCGCCCGGCGTTAATCCGCAGCACTATGTAGGTACAACCCATCTGGGAGTGGAGTGTTATTTAATCTTTGTACCTTCTCTAGCAACAAGTTCCCCAGCAGGTGCCCCAGCACCATCCGCCGCCACCGCCGCAACATCAGCAGCAGTACCAGCAACAGGTCCATTCGGCTCCCGGAGTGCCCCCCGTGCAATATGTAAGTAGAAAGTAGGTTTCGATATATTTCAAGGTCTTAAATGGGAAAACTTGAATCCGTAGCAATATGAACCGGTGCCAGTGCAGCAACAGCAACCGGTGCAATATCAGCAAGTTCCTGTGCAGCAACAGCAACAGCAGCAGCAGCCGCCAGTCCATCAGCCCCAGCAGCAACAAGTGCACCACCAGCAACAGCAGCAACAGGTTCACCAGCAGGCGCATGCCGGTGGCCACCACCATGGCCAGCCGCAGCAAGTGCTGAACACCGGAAACATCCAACAGGAGCGAGCGTAAGTATTTGGGTATCTTATCACCCCTCTGCCCATCATTATCTATCACAGAAGCTTTGTTTTAATCTCCAAAGTCATAAATTAGACACCGTGGCACAGGGCCTGTGTCTATTAAAAACTATTTAATAAACAACTTGAATTTCCCTCTTTAGTCACATCCAAGAGCACATGCAGGTGCCCATCGATACGAGCAAAATGTCCGAGGCTGAGTTGCAGTTCCATTATTTCAAGATGCACGACTCCGACAACAACAACAAGCTGGACGGCTGCGAGTTGATCAAGTCTCTGATCCATTGGCACGGTAAGTCCCTTCTAGCAACTGCTTAGACGAATGGTTGTCTTTTTTTTTAGTCCCCATTTTTCTTCTTTTGTCCTTTTGTTTGCGTCTTGTTTGACCCGAAATTCTGTTCTACCTCTTTGCATATGCGTTACTAAATGGGTCTGTTTCCGGTGTTGGTTGTGGTCATGCTCGAACCTCATGCTAATCCATCTCGCATCCGCCATAACAACTCATTGTGGTGCAGAGCAAGGCAGCAAGGAGCAGCCTAACGGCGAGAAGCCGCATGTTGAGGAAAAGGTCTTCTCCGACGAGGAGCTGGTAGCCCTCATCGATCCCATCCTTCAGATGGACGACACTTCACGTGACGGCTACATTGACTATCCCGAGTTCATCAAGGCCCAGCAGAAGGCTGCCGAAAAGCAACAACAGCAACAGCAGCAGCAACAACAACAGCAGCAGCAACAGCAGCCGCAACAACATCAGCAGCCTATTCATTAGTAGACACCCAGAGATCCGTTTAGTTCGCACACATAACCAAGTCCTGGTCCTTGTGATGTTCCACACATACTCCTGCTTTCTTTCCAACACATCATGAAATTACGTTGTAAACGGTTTTAGAGCACTCCCTAAAATCTAGTTGAATCAATTTTACTTAATTTGCTGCAAGCATTCCATCGGAGAACATCATTGAACAAATTGAAACTAATCCTTCCAAGAACTTTTCCAAAAGATACCCACTTCGAATAATGAACACGAATCTCGAGTGGTTTGTGCAATTTCAACTGGTTTCCTTGGCTTTTGTTTTCCATTGTCATAATTTTAGTTACTTTCGATATAACATAATTTTTAAGCGCAACTAGAGAGCAGCAACACAAACAGACTGATTGTTTAAACGTTTGTTTTGTACAAAAAGCGAAAAATTACGCAAAAAAAAATGAGTCGAAGAAACCCCCAACTATGTGAAAACCTTTTTGAAACTGAAACATTCAATTTGTAAGTAAAACCGATTTAGTGAATAAAGTCAAATCCAAATCGTAGAAAGTCGAATCTGTTTTCTTCCAAGTTGACTTGAAGGCTTTCAATTTATGGTGATAGTGGTTTTTTATTAATATTATAATTACTGTCCGAGTGTGAATTGTAAATATCATACCATTAATTTTGCAGTCAAGGAGGCTCCGGGGAATCCTGAAGATGTACACGCCGATCACGGAGAGGAGCACAAGTCTGGCTCTGTTTACACGGATAAGGCCCTAGAGGACACCATCGACTATGTCCTGAAGTCCATGGACCTGAACAACGATGGCTTTGTGGACTGGGCCGAGTACCGAAAGACTGAGGCCAATGTTGGCAAGGACTAGTCAAGTTGCTAACCCAAGAGAGCCGTAGAACTTGACAATTGTTGACCTATTTTATCCTTTTTCTATCCATACTGATCTGAGCCATTCTGATCTTGGTGTTTTTTTTATATCATATAAATTATAGCCACAAAAGATCACAAAAATCAAAGTTGTTTTGAAACTTTTTATACTTTTGCAAATAAAATGAAAATAAAAATATATTTTTTATGAAATGTCTTTTAATATTCTAAAAATTATTTAAAAAAAAGCTTTTATATCCTATTTGTCTAGTTTCCTAGGTATCCTTTATTCGTATCTTAGCCAAAAAACACATGAAAAGCTCCAGAAAGCATAGAAAAGCTTAAGGCTGCCAGAAAAACTTTCTTATCCGTTATCCATAACCGGTTCGTACATGCCCAACCGATTGGGAGAGTCCGTAATTCCTCTCTCAGTCACTGCCGAACTTAAATCTGAATGGAAGGTACTCACAAAATTTGTGGCGTGAAAATAATAACAATCCCACCTAGCTGCAGCATAAAATAGGTTTCGTGGGATTAAAGAGTGCCACACTCAATTATTACGCATACGCCGCGTGTGACGGCAGTCGAGTCTGCTAATTAGCTCGGAAATTTCTGCAAAATGTAAGAAAATGTTCACAAAAATAAACCCACTCACACACAAAAGTGCAGGCGTGTACGGTAATTATGGATCGCCGCCTTGCCGGCCCCGGGGCCGCAAATGGCGTTGCTCAGGCGACCCAGCCGGCGGTGTTTATAGAAAATAAACAACCCGGATGGGTGGCCTGCCGACAACTCCAATTGGACCACATCCACGTGGTCGCGTGCAGCGCGGAATTACGCTCTACAAATATTTGCCGTTACCGTTGCCGTTGCACAAATGGCCAGCGTGCCGAGCATTGTGTGGTATCGATTTTGCCAAGCCCTGGGGAAGGGGGTGGGTTCTGCGAGGACTTCCTTCCGACTGCGATTCACAGCGGCCGATAAGCCGGCAGGACATGCCACAACTCAGTTGCTCGTTTCTGCTCTTTCGAGGACGTCTATTAAATCCGTTCTTAATTATGCTTTTTAGGGCGGCCATACAGACAGGTGGACGCCCCCGGGAACGGCTGCTCTACGCCTTCCGGGGTTGGATTGCCTTTGTGGCCTTCATGGACCTGGGCACGGCATTCCGGAGCTATATTGAGCGGCGCAGCTTCCTGGGCGACCACAGCGACACCCAGTTTATAGAAGGTATGAGAAAATAAAGAGGGTTTGTGCTTAGTTTCAAATGTGTAAGTACATTTCCAGGTGACTACACCATATCCCGCATTATCGGCATGTACTGCCTCCTCAAAGCCATCGCCCTCGTCCACTGCACCCTCTACATCCACTACAGACCGTAAGTACAATATCCCCTGGAATGCAGGTGTTGCAAAGTATTTAATTACCATTCCTTAGGGTTGTGAGCATGGGAGGGTGCTCCCTGGCTTTAACCATGGTCTTTTATGCCACCGAAGCCCTCTATTTTCGCTCCAGCACCATCAACTTTTACGTGATCTTCCCATGTGTACTGAACTGTAAGTCATAATGCCTAATCATAAAATACATTCTTATAATAATTTTCATATTTGCAGCTATCACCCTCCTGGGTTTGATTTACATACCCAAACGACTGCGGCTCTGGGAGCCAAATATGGATCTCGATGATGAAAACTCGCAGCTCTTGAAGCAAATGACTGGCTTCAAAAGGCGGCGTGCGAAAAAACAATAATTTAATGTCTAAAATGGACAGCCTGACGAGATGGAGGAGCTCAGTATTGCCGAGACAACTTAAAGTCTCACATTGGACTGAATTGGTGTGATAGAAGTGACATCAAGTTCATCATTAATTTAATAGCAATACTGCAAACAACGCCAAATTAGTGATTTTCTATACGAATTAGATACGAACGAGGCAATGAAATGATAGTCAGTCTCTTGATAAGTCAATTCCCGGCATAATCACTTCAAGACATATGTTGAACTTCCTTTTTATGAAAATATATCCATAGAGTTTTACGGCACAATAGAGTTATTGCACTTTTAAAAGTTGAAAATCGATATTAGGAATCATTCGAAATTATCAGAATTAGCACCCGAGTTAAACAATTAAAATGAAAAGGCTTTAACTTTACAAATTAAGTTTATAATCATCATAGTGTTACGTTGGATATTTCCATTTAATATTGACAATTTTTGGAACATGCTTCCGCTCTTAAAATTAAGCGACCACCTAGTTACACATTTTATACTCATCACATATGAATACCATTTATAAAAATATAGGAACAATAATAGTTTTATACGCATTACGTAGAATATGTTTGAATAAAAATTTGAATAATCGCAATGCTCAAATAATTTTTATTATGGGTGATAATATTTTTGTATTTTTGATTTGATTTTTGTAATATTTACTTACAAATAATAATTTAAAATTACCGCTAAAAGCAAAAATGGTTCCGGTTCCGGACCACTGGCTCCATAACTGACTCCAAAGAACTATAGCTTATCGATTTCATCCATTGTGCCATCTCTATTGGCCGCTCTGAACCCGCCACAATTCTGTTTTGTTTTGTTTTTTGTGATATTGTTTATTAAAATAACCCTAAAAATATGTACCGAAAACAAAAGAAACGACCCCAGAAGGCTCTCAACCCCATTGATGAAAACACCACTATTAAAATACCTGTGAGTGCTGTTAACCAATTCAATAAAACCTTATTCTAAACGATTTAAATGCAAATTTCAGCGTAGGGGAGACAATACCACAAATGTATCTCTGGAATCCAATTCTGGCGAAAGCGAGGAGAATATTCCTCAATCCCAAGAGCACACCCAGCGCTTTCTTTCGCAGCATAGCGTCATTTTAGCCGCAACTTTGGGCAGAACTCAATCCTCCGGCAAGCATCCTTTATCCCTTTCTCGGCAGCCCAACAACTTCTTTGAGCTTGTTCTTACCCGAGCGGGCGTCCAGCTGGACCATGGTGAAAGTCTGATCCTGGCCTGTGACCATGTCACAATTGTGGCTAAGCTGCGGGAGATATTCTTGACTGCCACCTCCTATACCGACAAATTGGAAACTTTTAAAACAGGACTGAAAGCAGCCTTGGCGCCAAGGTCGAAACTGGTGCAGAAACTCCTTTCTGGATGCACTGTGGATGCTGCAGGGGAGGAGCAGATCTACCAGTCACAGAACAGCATGTTCATGAACTTCCTAATGATAGACTTTCTACGGGAGCCTTGTCTGGAAGTGCTTCTGAACCAAATCGAGGAGGTGGCAACAGCGGATAAAGTTGTCACCGGGAAAGCTGCCATTTCGATGCCTCTTTTGCCGCTAATGCTGTCCCAGCTGCGGTACCTTACTGCCTCACACAAGGTAAAGATCTATCCGCGCATCGAGGGCATCTTCAACCGGGCCACGGCTACGGCTAAGCTAGACATTATTGCCAATGCTGAACTGGTGCTGGATGCCAGTATGCACGATGATTTTGTCAATCTTCTCATGTGAGTAGCTGTTTCCAAGATCCTCGTATCTTCACCATATCTTGATTCAAACTATAATGGTCTTTACCTGCAGAATTACCTATTCGAATACAGTGGAACTTTTTCACATGACCACAGTGTACACTCTTGGTAACCTGTCGCTTTCAGAAAGTCTACAGACTAAGTTGCGCAGGCGTATTTTTGAATATGCCACAAGCGGGGACTGTTCCGATATGGTAACTATAAAGTTTTAGAAAAATATGCCTTGTATTTGATATATATTTTTTCGATTTTGTTATAGACCTTGTCGCACCTGGTGAAACTTTTGTTGAATAGTCTAAAGTTAGACACAGATGAAAGTGTTAAAGAGGTAAAGCATAAAATATTAAAGGTTGTCCGACACACAGATAATCTAACCCTATTGCAGTTGGTCATCACGCTTCGGGATATATTTAATTGGAGACACATGAATAATAAGGAAGATAGCTCTCCATTGGTCAATGACAAAAAGTCTCAGCTAGAACTTTTCGGTTTTCTCGAACTTGGTTTGATTCGATCTAAGAAGTTTTACCAAATGTGGCAGAAAACTATTGCTGGCTTGCCGGCTCAACACTTTAGGTATGTTTGCTTGCTCCTTTTGTTTTTAATTCTCGTTTCAAGAAATCATTATATTAGCTCTTTGGATCTGATCGTGCTGTTATTGTTGATACATGTTAATGAAGACCATTCATTGTATATAGAAAATATTGTGAGTAATTAAAGTTAAAGACTTGTATTCATGAATTATAATAAATACTATTACATTCATAGATTCGCCGGCGAGTTAAGCTCGAGCACATCACAGTAAACATTTTGGAAGAGGTGAAACTACACTATTCCCATGTTTTGGAGCTGCATATAAGCACTCTAATGAATATCCTTCATGACTTTATGCGAGAAAAGAACAAAATTGTGTCTGACTTTGCCAAGTCCTCTTACAGGTAAGTTTCAAAAGAAGAAACATTTTTTTAAGGAGGTATTAATGGGATTTTTTTTTATATTGTTTTTTAGTATATTGTTTAAGATCTTTAGCTCGATTCAAAAGAATATTTTGAAGAAGCTACTAGAGCTCACATGTGACAAATCATCGCAGCACCTCACGACTATGGCTCTGGAACTGCTTCGGGAGTTGCAGCGGAAGAGCACTAAAGATGTTCAAAATTGTGCTCCTCTCTTGCTTCCGATGCTAGACAGGCTCAGTGATTTTACTTTAACTCAGACCCGGTTGGCCATGGACCTGCTATGCCATGTAGCCTTTCCGGATCCTAAGCAATCGGGTTGCCTGCAGCTTCAGGAGCAAATCGATATGATAGTAAAAAAGCAACTGATCAACTCAACCGATCGTGTGAAAAAACAGGGAATCATTGGATGTGTGCAGCTTATCGATGCCATGGCCAGAATCGAGGAGGAGACAATGAATGATAACGATTCCCTTGCGAGTGTGGATAATGTGGATGCCTTGCCTCCTGGACGCGTCAAAGTGGCAGCAAACTTTATAAGTAATTAAAGGGAAGTCTTACTATAAATGATACATTAAATCGGGTTATTTTCTAACAGCTAGAACAGAGGCTTCAATTGGAAACTGTCCCGAGTCCTTAGCGCTTTTCTATGAAGAGCTGGCAACTGTCTTTAGTTTGCGATTCGATGGAAGCTTCGTTTGTGATCTGGACAAACAATTCATTGCTTGGGCCTGTGATGTGATGACCTTTCGTTTTCAGGCCAGCTTTGTCACAGGAGACCACGCACAGACGATTAAGTAACATTAATAATAATATATTTATATACATCATTGGTACAATAAATAAATAATTTTAGGGGCATTCAACTGGAATACCAGCTCAACATCAACGAACTGGATGATAGGAATGCTGAATCGGAATCCGAAGTTCTCAGTATTGGCGTAAACATATCCAAACTGGTTTTGTCTCCCAACTCCAAGTAGTTATATTTCTGATTATTATTTTACTGCTTCCTAATATTGGTTTTTCTTATTTCAGAGCCTACGACTCCGTATATGTCTTGGCCCCTTTATTTAATTTTGTAAAAGTACTGACAAATCGACGTCATCATTACAGTTTGGAGCATATCAATGCTCTGCTTGGCTGTGCTATTGTGCTGCCCTCTTTCTTCAAGGACGAAAACTATCTGGCCATTTTTGACAACTTTGACGGGGACCAGCAGAAAGATATATTAAACATTTACTTCCACACGGTGAACTGGATGCGAGTGACAATCAGTGCATTTTCATCGCAACGCGAAGAAGCCACTCGACGCCGCGTTCTTCTGCGGCTATTCGAATTGATCCAAATCGAGCAGAGGATCAAGCCACTTCTGGCACGAGCGCCATTCGACTACCAGGCTCCATCTTACCAGTTTTTAACCAACGCAAAGCACCCTGTTTCTCACCAGAAACGCCAAGTGGGAAAATCTGGAGCCAAGGCTAACTCAACTGCAATCGATCCAGACGCTACAGTAAACCAAACTACCATCGCGGACTATACAATCAAAGTGGGGCCTTGCAAGACCGTCAAAACCAAGATAGACTTTGAACAAATGTATGGACCGAAAGAAAGGTTTAGACCCATGGAAGTGGGTATCATTATGTTGTTGGTGGAGCAAAAGTTCCTTCTCAATTACCCGCTTGAGGATGAGCAAGTGGGAGAATTTTTGGGGCTTTCAGAACTACGCTTCCTTCTCGAAGACATTGTTCAGAAATTGGAAGCTGCAGTCAAGGGTCAGCAGGACCCTAGGGACACTGACAGTCTTAGACCTCATCTGGCTAAACCAGAGGATTTCCTTTATGACTTACTTCCTTGCCTGATAGAGGTCAACAATCACCTCAAAACACTGGCCGAAGCAATTGATGAGGAGCTCACAAAAGTGGGCCACGTGTACAGCAACCTGGATTTGTTTAAGGAACGGTTCAACTATATAAAAAGTTGCTTTGGCTTGTGCATCCGCCTGTTTGCTCTGTACTTTTCTTGGAACGAATGGACCGATAAGTCACAAGCCAAGCGGCTTCACAGTAAGCATTTGAATAATAATTTCATAAAATTTTAATAATATAAATCCTTTTATTTCAGAATTATTGATAAAGCTACAACCCCAGGATCAACAAAAAAGATGCGAAAAAAAAACTATTGCTCAGTTAACTACCATGACTTTCGAATACTTTTTAAAGTATGAAAAGTCGGTATTGAATCTTAGTACGGCAGTGCAACTTCATCGACTGCTGTGCCGTTTGCTGAAGGTGCAAAGTATGCAGGACCAGGCCAGACAGCCTCTACTTGAGCAGGCCGAAGAGACGAGTAAGCAAAGTCTATGGAACATTAAAAGCTTTATTTAATTTCCTATATAAATTTCAGGATTACTGTGTGACAAGTTCTTGAGACGTAAATGGTTCCATTTTTCTGGTACTTTGGATAAGGGAGCACAATGTAACATATATTTGGATGAAATAATTAAGGGCTTCTTTAAAAACTCCACCTTCAAACGGCAGAACGAGCTCCTCGGTGAGCTGATCAAAGAATGCAGCATTCTCAACACAAAGGACAAAGCTTTGAATTCTTTTCCTAACTTTAAAAAGTGAGAACCTTTTTCCTACCCAACACGAACATAATTAACATATTCTTATCTTCTAGGGCCAACTTTCCATTGCTGTTTCGAGGCCTCTGCGAAGTGTTGATCCACTCGTTAAGTGCTCAGGTCAGCGTTAGAAGTGAAGGGGATCGCCTTAAGTTGTGGGAGTCCACAGTGAATTTACTTAATGGGCTGCTGCGGATTATACAGCTTGTAGAGCAGCCCCGAAACTTTGGACTATTTATTAAACATTCACAACTATTCCTCAAGCTATTACTCCAGCATGGTATGACTGTGCTGGAATCTATCGTGCGGGAAGATCCCGAAAGACTTACCAAGTTCCTACATGAGCTGCAAAAAATCACAAGGTTCCTGCATCAACTGTGCTGTCATTCCAAGTTTATAAAAAACACAGCCATTATCAGTTATATTCCTTCCCTCCGAGAGACCATAGAAACCCTAGTCTTTCGTGTGAAGGCACTACTGGCTGCCAACAACTGCCACTCTGCCTTCCATATGGGGAATATGGTTAATAAGGACCTGCACGGGGACTCTATCATAACACCAGTTGGCTCTTTCGTTGACGAACAGAACAGCGACGAGGAAATACCTGAGGATGATGCCAGTGTGGATGAGACTGTCTTGGGCGAGGAAATGACAGCGGTTAGCGTCAGCACAAGACCCAGTGATGACAGGCGAAGCAAATCATCTTCACGCAGCAAATGTTTTTAAATATTCTGATAATTGTCCATAAAATATATCCTAACCGACACAAAAACCAAACTGTTTTATTAAATCTATAATTGAGCAGAAGACAGTGTTTGCATTCTTTATTTATTTCATTTTTTATTATCTGGATGCAATTTTATTTAATTTTCGTATTACAAATAATAACAAATGTATGTATATCAAATATTTTAGTACAATATGCTTCTTCTCTCACTTTTATTTTCTTCGTTAACAATAATTGTTTATTAAGACGTAAAAGTTGTTCTCACCTCCCTCACATTCGGCCTTCTACGATGAATTCTGATTGATTTATCAATAAATTTCCATTTGTTATTTTTATTTTGTAATAATTGGCGACGTTACGTTCACGGTTTATGAATCCCTCTCATACGTGTGGTATGTATGCAAATGTTTTCTTTATCAATAGGTAGTTATAAAATGTTTTTTAAAAATGAATCAATTATAAAATGATTATATATAATTAAGAGCGAAGAAAACACACACAAACTATAAAATTTAAAAGTAAAAAATAAAAGAGTTTCAAGCAAAGATAAGTCTAACGTGTGTGCATGTCTGAAACAGATATTGTCCTTGGTACAAAACGTGGTCTATACTTCTTTTTGTATCGTAAATAATAGAAAAAAATCTTGGAGAAAGTTTCCAAGGCGCTTAGGTCCTTGCATCCACTGCCATTGTCCTGCATCTTTCTTTACAAACAGTTGCGCTCGCCTTAGGCCGATTCTTGAAATATACATAGTTTTTGGATTTGGATTGCTGAAAAGGTTTCAAAAAGTAAATTTGGAATAGGTCGAATTCGTTTGTATATTTCAATTTACAATGCGATCGTGTTTTGATTTATTAATTTTTATTCTTTTCTTTATTTGCCAATTTTTCAAAACTTAAAACATTTTACACAAATTAATTTTAAAAATTTTTAATACGTACGCAGTCTGTTTAAAAGTAAAGTTAGATTATACACTCCTACGCCTACATATACATTATATACTCATATATATATATTTATAAAGAAAGATATATATATTTATTGTATATATAGATTTAGTAATTATGATTAAATCTTGCCTTTGCATCATCACAATTCATGTAAAGTTTTTCATTTTTTTCGCTCAGTTTCCATGCGCAGTTTTGCAATTTGGTTGTCCACTTAGCTTTCTTTCTTTCTTTCATGATACTTCTGACTTTATTTTTGTATTTGTATTTTTGTTAAATTAAATTATTGTGTTGCTCTTGTTGTTTCCAAATTGTTCAAATTTACACACGTATACAGTTATCGTTATTGTTATTAGATCAAAGTTCAATTTTGCTTGCGCTCCTCTCTTCACAGATACACAAAAATTGTAAACCAATTAAACAGCTAAACAAATTAGTACGTTAAGTATTTAACATTAATGCTTTATGTTAGATCGTAAAAATATTTTGCTAAAAATTAATATTCATAGTTTAATATATATATATAACATACTATTGAAAACTTAAGCGCACAAACAAAACTAAATATTCAAATTAAAAACTAATTTTGCCAAACGTTTTTGCTTTCCCGAAAAAATTAAAACAAAAATTACAATTACAATATTTAACACAATTAGGGGGTAAGATAGGTATGTTGGGATTTTGGTTTTTTGTTAGAGGCGGATTTTGAATATTTTGGGGTCTCCAGAAAAAATTTTCAAGCTTCCAAAAATAAGTAGATATTTTCAAAAGTAACGGCACATAGTTTTGTAAAAATTTTGATATCATAGTTTTTGAAACGACCAAATCGATAAACTTTAACGGATTGTGTAACAGCTTTCCAATTGGTTTATAGATTTAGTTTAGTTTTTAGTTTACAATAGAAAAAACACATTAACAATAAAAACTTACAAATTAAATTACAAATTTAAAACAATATAAAATCAGTACAGTTATCGAATTAAACAAATCGTTAAAATTAATTATATTTATATATTTGCAATTTTAATTGGGTTCAAAGGTATTAAGTCACCAAATATATGTGGAAATTTTTAAGACAAAAAAATCAAAAATTTTGCATGCAAAAAGACGCGGCGTTAAAGAATTTGTCAAACTTCAATTAACTTCCTTATAAAATTAATTAATTTGTTGTGTTTGTGTGTGTTTAAAGAAAAAAAATTATAAAAGTTTACAATTACATATTTCTCCCTTTTCTTTTTCGAAGGCAACAATCGGTTGCGTGAAATGCTCTCAATAAGAAACGTAAAATATTTAAGAAAAAACTCGAGAGGAAACTTATCGAAAAATTAAATACAAAAAAAAATGGATTAATATTTTAGCAATTTTTCTTCGTTTGTTGATGCTTGTTATTGTAGCTAGAAAATGGCGCACACTTCTCTCTTCCTCTACAACGACAGTTTACTTTACTTTAATAATTATGTGTATATGTGTGTGTGAGTGTATGTGAGTGTTACTAAATTTAAGCTTAACTATGGTCATTTAGAATTTGTTGTATATATTCTCTTATTGTTTGTGGCTAATATATTATGTATTTAAAGTTCTTTGCTGGTTTGCAAATTTTGCGCAAGTTTTAATGTTTTTTTTTCTTTTTTTTTTACTTTAGGCAACTGCTTGGTGTGTGTGTGTCTGTGTATGTGTATTTTTAAATTTAAAAAAAGTTATTGTTTTTAGGCTTATGCTGAACAATGTTCATAGATACGTTTTAAAACACACGCGTCCTTCATCAACTGCCAACAGTTTGTATTTTGCTTTATACTTGAGTTCAAAATTGGAAGTATTCATTCGTTAGTTTAAAACTAATCTATATTTTTTATGTTTTTATTTTATTTAATTTATATATATTAATTAACTTTTTGCTTCACTTGAGATCTAGCAATAGTGGAAACGAAAACGACAGAATTTCTCTTTTTTTTTATCAACAAAACATAATTTTTTTGCAAAATAATTTATTTTTGAGATGCAATTAATATTTGCTCTCTAAACTTTGACACGTGTGTGGCATTATTATAATTATTATATTTTTTTTATAGGCATGGAGTTAAGATGTTGCAAGTAGGTCCTTTTTATATAATTATTAGGTTGCATAGGTTTTATTTTATGTGTGCGTAGCAGTTTGAGGAGTAAAGAAAAGTGGGGGAAAGATTAATCTGAATTCGATATAGTTTAGTGGATTTTAAGTAGAATTTCTTAGTTATGAATTGTTTAGACTTTCTGCTAATACGCACTCTCGAGCGCTGGCTAATTGATTTCATAGATTTAGTGTTGCTTCGTTTTAGTTTACTGGTGTTCGTATTAAGTATGCGTTATTACATTATTAAAATTTATAATTTAATTTAATATTTGGGGATGCCCCCCCTTATTACTGTTTGTGATGTGTTGTCTCCGCCTCTGCGTGTTGTCTTTCTAATTCGTTGCTTCAATTTGTTAATTTTCCCATTTTTTTTTATCAGCTTATCAGTATTATTTGCATTCGCATACGTATGGTTTTGTGTTTTTATGTGTGCAATTACTTAGCTCTACATATTTCATTACTTCCACAGATACCATAATTGATTTGAAGTTGCCTAAAACTTACGCTTTTAAAAATAGTTTCTTCTCAAATTTATGCAGAAAGTCTTGCCGGTTGCCGACACCAGTCATTATATAATAATGCTGGGTGCATTTGAATTTTTCGCGTTTGCTTATCATTCTCATATCAATTTAATCATTCTAATCAATAATTTTTAATTTTTGTTTTTGTTTTTGTTTTGTTTTTGTTTATTTTGTCAGTCAATGTTTCTTTAAGCTTTGCTTTTCAATTTGAATTGTATTTGTTTTTAGAATATTAAACATGGTTAGGTTTATCATTGCATCTGAGCTTGATCTCTTGTATATATGTTTAGTTTTCCTATATGTCTTGCTTCAGCATTCGCCATTTAATCATTACTTTGGGATATATACAATCATTTAATTTTCCCCTTGCCCATGTGTAAATGTTGTAAAAGGCTTTGGTAGTCGAATCGAGTTTGAATTTCAGTTTTCAATGTATAAAAAGGTTCTACATGCTGCTTAAGTTTTAAAATCAATCTGTTTTGGGCTTATACTGCACTCTCTATATAGTTATAGATAAATATATTTGTTATACCTTATAATTTTTGTATAGGTTTGCTATATATGCTGAACTATTGTTTCAATTTTGAGTTAAAAACACTATGAGACAAATTTCATATTACTTTTGTTTTTTGTTTGTGAACTTTTAAAACGATTTTACGATTTTACTTTGGTTTATCTAAGTTGTGAGGCGTTGCTGATGCTTTTTTCATTTTTAAAACTTTTGGGAAAAATCTGCTAAACTTGTTTCACTAAATGAACATTTCTCGTTTAAAATGCAGGAGTTGCAAAGGCTATTTAAGTGATTACATACAATACATATATACTCTACTCGACTGGTAGTATCCTTGCTGCTATTGTTCTGATACGCTACTTAGAGGTACGCCCATCTACGGTGTTCATAGCAAAGAATTAATATCGAAACGAATCCCTAAACAATGCTTTCTGAATTGTTGCTAATGGCCTTCCTTATAGTTTATATATATTTCGTTGAAATTAAATTTATTGCTTCTAATTGTGGTTGCAATTCTTCGTTTAATGTTTACGCGAATGAGGCTTTCTCCCGGGATGTGGCTCGGAGAAAGCTGGGATAACTGGTTGTGGTTGTAATTTCCATGTGTGGCTGCTATTAATAATTATTTTTTTTATCTGATTTCAATTGGGTTGCTGTTGTTGTAGTTGCTGTTGCTGTCGTGTTGTTTTTTAACTCCATGCCGAAAACGTATCCATGTACCACTGTTCACCATTTGTGCCTAAAGGTTGCTGTGGTAGCGGTAAACTGCCCCAACTGCCGCCATTTCCTATTAAACCGCTCGGGTAACGTCGCTTAACATCTGCCGGATTTTGGTGACCTCCATCGAACTTACGTTTACCGACTACTGCATTGGTTGGTTGAGGTTGGATGCGGTCGGAGGTCAGAGTCGGCAGAGTTTGTGGTTTTTGGGATGCATTCATGGGATGCGATTGTTGTGTTTGTGTAGTAGTTGTTGTGGGTTGTTGGTGTTTTTCGAAAGAAAAAAAAGAGAAAGAGAGTTAAAAATATTGTTAATACAATAATGGTTCAAAATTGTTGCTATTTTTTTTTTTTTGGTTCATTGTTTGTTTTTTTTTTAAGTTTGGTCTATGGTTCGAATGGGGATTTCTTGACGTTGCATTAGTTTTTTTTAGTAGCACAATTTTATTATTTTTTTTCCATTTTGGTTTTTGCTTTGTAAGTGAAAAAGGGGGGACTGGTAGGGGTACTCCAATGATTGAAAGACAACACAGTTTAATATTCGTTCGTTTAATTACTCATCATTAGATTTACACATCACAAATCGGAATAGTGTTAACTCGACATAACGCCAGGGACTCAGGGACATGTATACATTTAGAATATATAATGCTTGTTACAGTGTAAATATGTGGGATGGTAAGTGCACAGAGTATTGTGTGAGTGTTGGGTGTGCAAGTTACAATTACCGAACGTGTTTGTTGTGAGTTAAAACATTGTACATGATATTATCGCCCGTGAAAAACATTGAACATTTAAGTTACAACTAACACAGATATGTGGCATAAACTGAGACACAAGAAACAATTATGAAATAGTTCCCTGATGGACATTAACAGAGCGCTGCACTCGAATTTCTTTTCGCTGCGCTGTGCTTTCTTGAAAAGCATGCCGTCGTCCTTCTACTTTCCTCAAATTTGAAATTTGGAATTTTTGTTCGAAAAGTTCGTCTCTTGGTTTTTGCCCGAAAATGTTGTTGGTCCTTGAAATGTAACTTGGTCCACAGACCTTGATTGGAGGCTACCGATTTTGATGCTAAATTGCTTGCTTGATTGATTGATTGATTGTTAGTGTTCTTGAAAACTGGATTAGTCTGGCTGACTTAGCCAGCACATGATGTGTCGTCCTGATTTGTGATCTTGATAATAAATGCCAAAGTAGATAGATATTATTGCTTTCCGGGTGAGCAAATTTGATTTTTGGCGGAGGGAATAAACTTGATGATGAATTTCAATTTTCGATTTACGGGATTATGTGTTTGTGGGACAAGAGCGAATTGGCCCAATTTTGGGGACTTGGCTGCGATTAGGTGGATTTCCGTTTGGATTTCTTTTGGATTTTGGAATGGCGCGAGTGCTTCTTTGACTTGTGTGGCTTGATTTTGCTACTACTGGAGGACCTATGGGCTGTTTTACGTTTCTTGGTCGACGAGCGACTGCGGTCGCTGGCCGAAGAGGAGGTCGATGCGCTACGCTTACTTGCCCTCCATGAAGCTCTTGAGTGCAGCTCCAGCTAGAAACAGATTTAGGTATTTTGTTTTTGATTTTAAGGATTTTGTTTTGGTATCAAAAACAAAGCGCATGTATGTATGAGCAGGTGTGTGTGTGTGTGAAGCATTCTAACGGTAAATAAAAATGTATCTTCCGTAAGGACAAAAGTATCTACAATTACAGCCACAAAATGTAAAGCGTGTAGTACAACATGGAAGCAGGTGATGGTGGGTTTAGGGTGTGGATTGTCACGTCTTTGCCCGAAGGTGTTAGTTTACCCACATGGCTGGGGCAAAAGCGTGGCGGCTCCAATTCGGTAAGGGGTTTCCCCCCTATCTGTACATTTTATATATAGAATACCATTGGATAACAAATTATAAAGAAACTGGTGTGGGTGTGTGTATGTTGTAAACATAATACACGAATCGATTAGTATTTTTTATGAATAATATAAATAAAAAACAATTTCCATATTGGTATTGGTGTCACCCTGTGTGTGGATATGATATGACATAGGGATTTGTTAAACATTAAGGGTCGTATATGGATTACATGTGTGGGGGTGGTTACTAAACTATTTTATTTATTTATAATTTTGTTTTGGCTTCGCAAAGCAAGATGGATAATTATTTAACAAGACACAATATAGATCGTTAAATTAATGGGCTAGAATATAAATTATAAGTACAAGTTTATATTAAGGTTTGTGCAATCGCAATCGATCAATAATCAATCTTGATACGCGGTTTATTTGTATAAGTATATTATTAGCGCGGGTTGGTGGCAAAAAAAAACAAAAAATTATATACACGTACGTCAAAATTTTGGGATGGATCTCAGGGTGTTCTCAAATTTCAATGGGGCGGTTGCAGACCAATATTAAGATTAACTCTCCCCCCAAGGCCCTCCCCCGGCTTCTCCGAATCTCGAATGGCGCTTAGTTAGTAGGTGACGAAATTCTCGGTGCGATTTGGTGTGTATGTGGGGACATAAATACTAATCGATTCATTAACGTTTACAAACATTGCTCATTTTTTGATTAGGTATCCAATACAATGCGTATAAAAACAATTACAGCAATTTGTTACGATGGCTTTCCATATACATAGTGTGTGTGTTTTTGTGTGTGCGGGTGGGGCAGGGGCGGGTAGGTGTGAGTGTGGGTGGCAGGGGTGTCTGTATGTGGGCGTGGCTGCCTATTGCTGCTTACAGTTGGAACGGAACAGAAAAGAAACCAACAGAACCGGGCATAGAGCATGCATAAAAAACTGTAGCATACATCTCAGCGCTGACACAGAACTAAAATATGGATATTAAATATTGAATACAATCACAATCGTAAGCAGCAAAGAGCACATCTATTTTGAGCATAAATAAAAAAAAAAAAACCATGAACAATTGAAATATTTTTATGAATTAAAAAAAAATAAAGGAATGTACAACATTAAGAATAGTTAACACACAACATTTAAGTGGCATTTGGGTGGAAGGATGGGAAACTTTCTCGAAGGATTTTTCACACTATTAAAAATTATTCACTCGTGTCTGTGTGTGTCTGTGTTGTGTGACTGTGTGGGTGTAAGGATGTGGGTTGTTTTCATGTGTTTACATTTGACTTGGCTTTACTTAGTTATATGAACTTGACATTGCAATGTATATTTCTCGCTGTTGTTGGTTTGTTTATGCAGTTTTCGTTTGGCGCAGGTTGTTGGGAGGTTTCTTTTTGATTCGATTTGGTTTGATTTTGATTGGTTTTTGTTGATTGGTTTTGTTTTTTTGTGGTGTATTTTATTTTTTTGTTGTATTTTTTTTAAAAACATTTCGTTTTTTGTGTTTTTTGTTGAGCTCACCTGGTAAATTTTGTAGCGGCTTGACGTGCTGGGTGCCACGAGCGCTGGGACGCGTTGGCACCACCCCACGGACCCCCCCTGTTGCTGCCGGCGCCCCCTGAACGGTGGCCCCCCGCTGAGTTACCGCCGCCACCTGTCCCACCGCCGCCGCCGCTGCCGCCGCCTGAGGCGCTGTTTGGCCCCCCAGACGACTGATGCTGCCACGCTGGCCAACGACTCTGCCACGCGGCACTGTGATTCCACGCCCAGGACCAACTCCCTAAAGTCGGCCATTCATCATTCATATGAATCCACACACGATCATCGTCGTCATCGTCATCGATCCACACCATTCGCAGGTCATCAATAATGCATGCATTTTTTTTTTGCGTTTGTGATGGTGTACGGCGTGTTGTGTTTTGCGTGGATGGTGTGTGTGTTTGTGATGGTGTGTGTGGGGTGTACGTGAAATAGACGAGTGTTGTGGCAGAGTGTGGGGTTCGATTCCAGAGATACGGTTCCATTATCCATCATATTGTGTTATCCATCATTCGATTCCGTTCGGTCGTCGATTTGGTTGCGTTTCGATTTCGTTTTTGGTTTTTCAGATTTTGTTTTTGGATTTTTAGATTTGATCGATTTTCAATAGCATTAGCATTTTATACATAATTGAATGTGTTTGTATATATATGGATCGCCAAGATAATTGTCAAATTTTGTCATACCAAATTAACGAAAGTAAGCGAAATAATACGTTTAGAATTGGATTTTGGATGATTTGGAATTTTGAAGTCGAATCGATGCGAATTTAGAATTTGTTTTTCAGAAAACGATTTCAGAAAATAGGGTCAGGAAAACGGTTTGTATTTTTTTTCGAAAGGTTTACGATAGTTTTTGGTTTTTGATTTTTTGGCCATTGGTTCGTGGTTGGTGGTTTTCGATTTAGATTTTGGTTGGTGGCAGAGAAAGAATTTATAATTTTAATGTGGGTTTGATTTTTTTTGTTTTGACGAACATATATATAATTTTTTGAAGAATTGTTGTATTTTTTTTGTCATATTTTGTACCGAAAAACAAATGAATTGTTTGTATATAGATAAGTATATATAACAAGAACACATAAAAAGAAAGAAAAGAAAAGAAAAAAATCGAAATAAACGCGTTAGATTCTTGGTGTAAAACTGTTGATTGTTGATTGTGCATACACGATGTAATGTATGCATATAAAATATGTATTATTGATATAGAAATTACTAAAATGTATATACTGTTCTCTGTTTTCATGTGTAAACTGAGTGGTGAGCTTTCAACTATTTAATATTATAATATACTTATAACAACGGATCTGGGACGCTTGAAACTTGCTGGCTCCAAGTCCAAGCAACAAAAGTTTTGCCTCTTGCGATTGACACAATATATATATTCAAAGAATAACTTTACCATTTTTTTAAATTTGTTGAAATTGAAACATACGTACAACTAAAAGGTAATACAATAAGCGTAATGCGGTTAATATGTAGGACTTAAGCGTTTGCGGTTTGCGGTGATTAAGATAACATAATATGTAATGTAATAACGTAATAAAGCAACTCTTAATGGCTAAAAATTAATTAAAATTAATAGACGCCAGCACGCCGAATTCAGCTCGTAAATGAATTATTAATGGTTACTCCTGGTTAAAGCCTGGCAACGGATGGTGCAATTAAAACATAAATAAATAAGCAGGTATACGTACAAGCGAAGCATAAGTTAAGCATAATAAAGCACAATTTGTTAAATTTTCAATTGCGGCGTGGCGAGGCCCGAGTCCTTAATTTATCTGACGTATCCATGGTGAAAGCAGAAAACAAGGCGAAACAAGCAACAAATAGTCCTTGTTCCGGATATGCTCGTGCGTTTGCATTTGCGTGTGTATGTGTGTGTGGGCGTGGCATTTGTGGTTTTTGGGTGTGGGTGGTGGTGGTGAGTGGGTGGTGTGTGGTGGAAATTGGCAGCAAGAAACGTGCAAATTTTGACTTGGTAAACGAAATAAAGAAAATATATAATTTGTTGGGGTAATTAAAGCATCAGGTAAGCCAAAAACACAGTGTTCTCTTGACAAATAAGCAAACAAAAAATACATAATTTCGAAATAAACTAACTACAGCTTGGATTAAAGGATGGCAATCAACTGAGGGCATCTCTAAATAAGAAATAAATCAAAACATACGTAGTATTCTATAAAAATCTCATGTGTTTTTCTGTGTGCATAATGTGTTCTTGTTGATCAAATTGCGGTTTTTGGTCTTGCACTTCGAATTGACGAAGAGAGTCTGTGTGAAGAATTCGAATTGAAAAACGCACCAAAACGCCTGGCGAACCAGTGGGAGGACCACTTGCTGAGGCCCTTGCCGATCGCTGCCCAACGGAGAGCGATGTATTCGGGGAGGCGCCAGCGGCTAGCGAGCTCGATGTGACGCCCACATTGCCGCCTCCGCTTCCGCCGGGGCCCGCGGCATTTGGATAATCATAGTAGTTGAATTCACCGCCATCGTAGGAGCGAAACAGATCTTCATAGAATGGTTCATTGCTATAGGTGCCGGGGCGGTACTCCGGGAAACCGAAATAGTCATAATCGTACTCTACATATGGCGTTTTCATGGCATTTCATGGATAATTCATGGGGGAAGGAGGACAGGATTAGGTTACGACTTGGTACAGAGAGGAATGAATGAGTGGGTAGTGGGGGTGACTGTGGTGCTACTAAAGAGACCTTCAATATAGACCTAGTCCTAGGTGAAGCTCCTTATTATAGCTTGACTGCCAATGGTTACACTTTGCCAATGTTTTACGAATTGGGCGCATCCTGCAACGCTGCAGGACACTCGCGCGAGGGTGGTGGATGGGTGTGGTCGTGTCACACTTAAGTAGATGAGACTTGGGGTTACTTACCGGTGATATAACATCAAACAGTATACAGGGTGCTTAACATTCGCTACACAGAGAACACAATTGCAACATTTAATTATCATAAACAACTATGGACAACGTTTAAGGGTTAATGTCTAATGTCTATGCTTTGGTTATGGACTTGATATGTATTAAGTTCTTATTCCACATCTTTTTGTTGCTTTGCACTTGGCGACACTGAGTTTCGTATCGGAGTGATCGGAGAGAGGTTTTTTGGGGGGCTTGGGAGAATTGAGGGTTGAAGGTTCAAAAACATAAAACTTTCAAAAGGAAAGAAATAGCTTTCTCGACAACATCGAATGGAAAAATAAACACCGACATGCAAAATCAAACGAAAAAGGACAAAGATTGTAAGAAAGACAAATTCGTAGAAGGATAATAAATAGAGCATTAACACTTAACTTGCAAATGCGAGTATTTAAAGAAAGAAACAACATTTACGATTAGTAATAGAAATAATTGAGAGGTGGTTTTGTTACAAAGTCATATTCAAAGTTACTTCAATTGATTGCCAATGTCAGATCTGATCGTTAGTGGGTTGATTGATATCTCGATCTAGCTGGATACATTTTCTTACTCGACTGGGACTCGAGGGCAGTGCTAAGCGTGACTTCGGGGTTTCAGGGGGCTGTGCGTGGGTGTGGGTGTGGTAGTGTTTAGTATGTATGACTTGGGGTGTGTTAGTGGTTATAGCGCGCGCTTTTCAAACCTTAAACTTAACTAAAATGATGAGGCGAGACAAAAAATGAGGTTAACTAAACGGTGGCTTTCGATGGCAGATGATATATACATACATATATATCGTATAACTTAAGGCATAATCGGCAGACCGGATTAGTCAGCTCGGGGTTAGGATGTGGCGACGCAGTTGCTGCTGCTTCGGTTGGTTAGACTTCAAAACTAAAACTAAACACAAGCCTGGCAAATATTGGACTACTCGATGGGGGCATGTTGTGTGATACGTGTTAGTGTGAGTGTGGGTGTGAGTGTATGTGTAAGTATGTGTATGTGCCTAACAACTTTGCTAACTGACTACAAGAACTAAACCAAATTAACAAAAGTTATAATGTATTTTCTCAATCGTGTAGTAGAGTAGTAGTTGTAGGTCCCGAACGAAGGCGCCTACGGCCCTCACTCTCTTCACCATCTTTTCTCATCATTAACGTTTCATCATATCGCTGATATGCATATACATACAGACATCTAGAACATGTATCTGACGGATATTCACTTGGCGAATTTGCCAAACTTACCGTATTCGCGGGGTATCGGCGTACGCAGTGGCATGCGCGCTCCTTGGAGCCGCATCGGCGTCAAGGACATCATGCTGGGATGTGTCGGCGACAGGTTTCTGTATGGAGACAAGGTTTCAAATCTTAACAAGGTAATCATCCCACACAGAGATTATACAGGTTATATGGGTTATGGTTTGCGGTTTCAGTGTGCGGGACAACATAGTATTTCGGGGGTGAAGTTCATTCGCGCGACGGGCAATTGTCAAAGAAAGAAAGAAAATATAAAAACAAATAAATTAATGCAATCTCGCTACGTTAACTGTGGCGACTTGAAAAGCAAACAGACGTTTTAATTTGATTTGTGCCGAAAACTATATGCCCAATGGTGTGGTGCTCTTAGTCTAAGCACCAGTTCTGTATAATTTTTAGAAATTTTGCGCCAATCTATAGTTTGTTGAGTGTGTTGTGCTTCGAGCTAATGGTAATGTATTTGATGGGCTTGCAGGTACTTACCCTACGATACCGGGACGCGCTTGCATCATCTGCATCATGCGACGTTCTCGGGCCCTCAGGATTTCCTCCTTTTTCTTTTTGTCCGAGGGTGGTTTGGCAAGGGAGACCTATAAAATAAACATGGTGATAAGCTAGTTAACTAGCTATAAGGTAGTAGCACTTACCTCAATATTCGAGGCGCCGATCTCCTTGCCATTAAGGCCACGCATAGCTTCGACGGCGCTATCACGATCCTCAAAGTGTATAAAGGCATAGTCTTTAATTTTCTTAACGCGTTCTACTTTGCCATATTGCTCAAAATGCTCCTATTATTCGGAAATAATATAATAAACAAGTATTACAAGTTTCGATTAAGATCTTACCTTCAGCTTATCCTCGGAGACGTCCTGGGTCAGATTCCGCACGTAAAGTACCTTAACCTTGGACATAGTTTGTTCATCTGGCTCCTCTTGTGGATCGGCCCAGTCGACTATTATATCACATCCCCAAACCTGCTTATGAGGATAGAAGAATTAATTTTTTTCTTTAAACTGAGATAATGCACTCACCTTAATCCTACCAGTTCCAAGTCTTCGTTTGGCCAAAGATGCCGCCTTGTGTGACTCGTATTCGAGAAAGCAGAAGCCGCGGTTCTTTTTCTTATCATCTGGCGAACTGTATATGATTACCTCGTAAAGGCCAGCTATGGGTTCAGATTCGGGATCAGGTTTATTTATAAATAAACAAAAAATAGTCATTTGAGTACAATAAATAGAAAACGCGTTATCAATTCAAATGCATTAATGATTAGTTGGTTGCATATTCAAAAAAAAAAATGAAAAAAAAAACAATAATGAAAAAATTGTATACAGAAAGTAATACAACAAAAAAGTATTTGTATCTGTGTCGGTATTGGCAGGTGTCTGTGCATGTGATTACATATGATCGAGAGTACTTGTGATAAGACACTGAACACTTGAATGTTTACAAAAATTCAAATATTTACGGAAATGGGCAAAACTTCACACGATTATCGTGCCTGAGGAGCACAATGTAATTATGTAAAATTATGAATATTTCCGTCGTCTGAATCTCTTCTTAAAATTATATCGTTTTCGACGTTTGTAGAGCGAATCGGATAAATTTGAAAACCAATGCCAACAACTGCTGCTTGTTTAACTTTTTGAAATATTTTTGAATAGTTCAATGCGCTAGGCTAAAAATATTTTCGGTTTGGAGTTTAGAGTTTATAGTATGCAAGGATCGAGATTTAGAGACAAAGTTTTACAGAGAGCGGGGGTATAACATTAACATTGGATATGTATTACGTATAGAGAGTATTTTTAAAACGAAACACACTTAGAAACACTTAAAAAACCTCTGTTGCTATTGTTGTTGTATGTTTGTTTCTTATAGTACATGTTGCAAATTAAAGAAACAAGAAAAATATAAATGAAATTAAACTAAACACGAGGTAAAGCACACATTGAGCTTTGTATTTCTTTTTCGATTGAAATAATGGGGTAAAACAAAAACTATACACAAACATAGCCAGAGTTAGACAGATTAAGATATAGAGAGATTGTATAGAACGTGTGTACACTGAGATACAAAGAGAGATCGATAGAGATAGAACAATAACGAAACAACGAAATGTGGATAAGATTTTGAATTTGGCTTTAGATTCTCTTCGATTCGATTGCATCAATTGCTCGGGGAAGTAGCGCTTATGTGAGAGATAGATACAGAGAGAGTTAGAGTAAAATGAGTTCATTATTAAGGCTTGTAGTCTCCAGTCATTAAGTATAATGAATTATATATTCAATAACATGAATAATAGGCCAAAATATATCGATATAGACGAATAGACGAATTACATATTCATAATTTGGTTTCAGGTTTCTGGTTTTTGATTTTCTGGGGCGGAATCGGTATTCAGTTTTGTTTGGTTTGTGTGCGCCGCTTTTTAATATCTATGTGTATGATATATTCCTTAAAAATAATATCAGATATATTAATCTGCTCTAAAACAAAAACTAGGTTAGTTAGTCCCTACTCTTTCGAGTCTGGTTTGGTTTTTCAAAAATATTCAAAACGTTTTGGTATTTGGCGAATTGTTCAGCTACAGGTTTTCAATGTCAACAAATTGGGGCACATTTAATAATTGGAATTATGAATTGGAAAAAATTAACCAAAAATTATAGGACAATTAATTTTTTGTTGTATTCACTAACAGCGATTAACGCTACAGAGGATGAATGAGAGAATCATGACAGAAAAGAAGGTTAAAATGCCATCGACCATCCAAAACTATGCTTTAGATTCGAATTTAAAGAATAGTTTTCGGTGGTTTGTTAGGATGTTGAATTTTGTTGGAGGTGTGTGTTCGACAATTTGATTTTGATTTGGGAGTGACGACATTTTAAAAGCGAAAATTGCAAAACAAAAATCCAATTGATACTTCGTTTCATCGTATAGGCTTCCATGCGCTTTTCAATTCTGCAAGTATCGCCCCTAAAAAATTAATTATACACAATTTAGTTGGCCAATTATGGTAGCCAATTGGTTGGTGGTTCGGTTGGTGCTAGGTGGTTTAGGGTCGGGGTTTTTGGGGGTCTTTTGCTTTGTTTGTGGTTGTTTGCTGTTGGTTTTTGGATCACTTACGTGCATGTTTTGAAAATTCCTCAATTAACTCGTCACGATCTCTATTCTTAGGTATATTGCCGACAAAAAGCCGGTGATTGTTAAATGATATCGTAACACCAATCTTTTTGCCTTTCCGAATTTCAAAATCATTTAGCTGCAATTGTTTAAAAGTTCACACAAAACAAAAGAAAATTTTGATTTGCTATGAAAAATTTGTAGTTCATTGATACTGCGATTTGACTTTGGATTGATTTGGTTTTTGGTTTTGGGTTTGTGGTTCAAAGGTGACAGAATGTGGGCGTGTGTGGTGTATATGATAGTAATTCTCATGTGTGGGACAGAGTGTGGTGTTCTATTATCTAGACTTTTATAATTCATGTTTTATCTTAATGCGTGCCAAATAAAAATGAATTTACTCAAAAATAACATATTTTTTAGCTAGTTTTATGTTTCAACAAACATCCATTTGATATGGATGCTTTGTTGCCACTACCGGTACTAGTACTTACTATGCGAAATAATTACTTAAAAGTAAAAAAAAATATATATTTATAAACTTGGCTTGTGTGGCCAGAAAGTCGAACGAAAATCTGCTTACCTTCACGAAACAATTCGAACAGACTTTCTGGCGGACACACGGCGTATACTTGATACAACCTGCTTTCCTACTGTGTGATTATTATACAACATAATGGAAAACAAAGTTTTGGAATGCATAACAATTTTGTAAGAAATTTAAAAAATTTGTATTGTTTTTTTCTCGTTTTTTTTTTTATAGGCAAAGTTAATGACTGGAGATATATGTAAATAATTTAAAAAGAAATGTTCTTATGCGACAATTCAAGCTTTTAATGAATGGCAATGAGAAACAAATGGGCGTGTCACTGTATCTATGAGTCGGCGTGATAATACTTTCGGGTGTCTGTATATGTATGCTATAGAGTGCTATAGAGGCAACATATGATTTGTAAAACTGAGATGTTGCTGATCGATTTTTCGGGGATCGCGCATTTGAAAAGAGTGTCTCGACATTCGGTTTGTGGGGAGAACGCTTTTCATTGTTTTCTGCAGTGTTAGAGATGGCAATGGCGGATGGTTGGATGGTTTTTGGTGGAGGGTGAAGAATAAGAATGAGTTCAATACAAAAAAAAACTGAAAAAATTAAAATTAACGACCCTAAGACCCTTGCTAAGCTAACATCTTTGCAATTAGCCAATTTTTTGTATTCGCCAATTGGATTTTTGTTTAAAGCCGATTATGAAGTTGAAATGCAACTTCCGTGATGGTAATTTAAAATAGATTAATTTTCGTTGTTAATTTACCTGTAAGTTTACCAAATTCCTCTAAAATTTCTTCTTTGCCCTTTGACTTGGGAATATTGCCTACGAAAAGGCGCAGATTCGGTACGCTTATATTTATTTTCAGACACTTGCCGGGTTTTATTTCGTGATTATCGAGCTATATGGTGGATGGGAAGGTAAAACGATTTTAATACCAATTCAATGTTAATAAAATAAATAATAAAATAATAAGTAATTTTTTTTAGAAATCAAATAAGGCGATTAAACAACAGGAAAGGTTAAATAATAAAGTTAGGGGAGTTACACGTTTTTTTTTTTTGATTACCAATTTCTTATTGGAGGCGGTCCGCTTTTGAATTTTTGGTTGTGTTTTTGGAAATGTTAAAGGAAAATATTTTTATTCGGTTAGTAATTAGCTTTCGTAGGTAGGTATCGTAGTACTCGACATAAAGATGAGCTCTTTATATCACGGAGTTAATTTTTTGTCATGCTCGTCTAAATAAAACCAGACAGTGAGACTAAACGTACGCTGCTTAGATGGCTACGAAGGTTGATTGCTACATAGCTCGACTAAGGGCTAGATTCTAGAGAGATTTCAACTAAAGAGAAAATAATACAGAGTACAGGAGAAGAGGTGGACAGGTGGACTAGGTGGTGGGTGTATCAGGAGGCCAAATCTTTCTGGATTCGTAGAGAAGAGAACTCTTTTCAAATTTGTTGTCAATGCGCTTGGATAGACTGCAAAAATTATGATAAAACTTATAATAGACGGGACATGCATTACAGAATTACAGAAAGTTTAGGCAAAGAGAGAGACAGCAAGAGAGCGAGATAGTTTGTATAATTATATAGTTTTTTGATCAAGGCTGAGCAGAGGCAGAGACGGGGGAAAGAAAACTAAAATAAGCATACGATAGGTTGAAAATAAACTAAAACTGCACAACTTCTCAGGTCGGATGTAAAAAGCGCCGAATCAGATAGCTCTCAGATTGGTAATTTTTGGGTTTATTTTGCCGGAATTGTTGATTTTTCTGGAGAAAAATGGTTTTTGAATTTAGTTTTGGCCGCACAACTGTTCCTACTTTTGTCCAAAAGTGTCAAACGAGAGTAAATATGTGGATATAATACGTTAAATATGTATATATAGGATATTTATATTGTAATAGTTAGCAATACGTATAAAAACATTGAAGCAGGGTAGAGAGAGCGAAGATTGGGGGTTCGGGGTGAGATTCTTCAGGGGCTGGGCGGGCGGCTATTTGTGGGTATGTGGGAGGGGGCTGGTATGGAGAGTGTGCGGTTGACTTAAATACCTGTCGCACTGCGTTGACGGCTGCATCGCGATTTGTGAATGTGACAAATGCATAACCACGATTTGTGCCCGTCATCGGGTCCATCATGAGGCGTAGGTCCCAAATTGTGCCGCAGTTCTCGAATAGCGGAATCAGTTCGTCCTCGTACATATCCTTGGGTATCTTTCCGCAAAACACTTCGCAGCCATTTCCCGGTACATTTCCTTCCCAATCCGGTGGCGGTCCGCCGTATTTGCGTTGACCTAATGCGTAATATTATTAATATATTTGATTTTAAAATAATTTCAAGTCGTAGGTTACCTGTCGTCACATCTAATGTGTAGCCGGTGCGCTCGAGAATCTTTTTGATCTTGTCCTCATCGGGTCCTTTCACTTGAACAGCAGCTGCGGGCGTGGGCACGCCCTGTTGGCTGGCTCGACTCTTCTGGCGGTACGTCTTCATCACGCCGCACAAGTAGGCGGACTTGTTCGACACATGCTCCAGGTTAGATTCGAGAAACTGACCCAACACATTCAAGGCACCATCGACGGGGAACTCCTTGAGCGCATCCAGAGCGCGCTCATCCAGCTCGGCGTGAGCCAGCTTGCCGGTTTTGTAGATTTCATCCAGTTTTCCGGCCACCTAAGGACGATCCACCATTATGCTTCAGTTTTGAAGTAGTATTACTTTTCAAAGACTCACTTTCTTATCCAGACCGTATTCCAGCAGCTTGGGATAGTCCTCTGTACGCTCGCCATCGCCACGGTCATCGGCTTTCTGATTAATGTCATCTAACAGTTCGCCATTACCCTCCGCCATTTCTGCAAGTAAAATTTTGTTCCAATTAGTTTTCTTTATCTAGTAATAGTAATTTATTGTTTTATAGTCTTGTGGCGAACCTTGAAAGTTCAACGAACGCCAAAAAATGGCAACAATTTCCTGCCCTGCTAGAAAAATAGGTCGAAATACGAAAATTCGCAACTTACGCATCGCCGCACGCACCGAACGAGAGATAGCAGAGGAGGAGAGAGCAGAGCAGAGCAGACAACAAAGCTCGTTTGCCAAAAAGTTCATTGACTTCAAACAAAAATGCGAAACGCACAAATTGGCGATCCAGCAGTGGGAGAGAGCGCCGTCACGCACGCACCGCAAAGTGCGTGAACCCACCGAACAAAGAGCAGCAGAAAGAGAGAGAAGGGAAAGTTAAGAGAGCGCAAATGGCCGAAATGTAAACAATCGAAAAAGAGGCGCGTTTCGCGAATTGTGGGATGCGTGCCGTGTTGCGTATACGCCATGTGTTCGCCGTCGATTGGAAGAGAGATAGCGATAACCGTGACGTATGTAGTATCACTAACCATACAGCATATAGACAACCCATTTCATACAACGAAAATGGACGCGAAAATTTCTTGCTACAGGCCCCAGCAGGCCCCAGAGCGGATTTCTTACGCTCTCTTACGCTCATCGTTCGTTCATCTTACGCTCATTCTCGCATTAAATGTTTTCTGTTTCTCAGTCTCTAAACGGAGCGCGATGAAGAAGGTTGGCCTGCGCTTCGGTTGATCTTTGTATGTATGCGTGTCACACATTCACATACATGGGTGTATGTGTGCGTGCGATTTCGTTTCGAAGCCAGCGCACAAAATTTTGATTTTTCTTACTTTTAAGGCTTGCTACCCTAACAAAATTCGGGTATTCGTTATTTGATGAAATGACGAAAGAAATTATATTATTTTGTATATTATATTTTTTATTATTTCAGCATACATGTTTAATTTATTTAGGAATAAGATTAAGTGTTAGTAGTAAAATGTTTTCTGTATATATATTTTTACGAATCATTAAAAATCAATATACTGAGAAAGTGTCAGAGTATATTTCGGTCGGAGTCACTTAAAGCGCCGTTTGCTTTTAAGTTTTTGTTGTTCTGCAAGAGGCTTGTGCATGCCTACTCTAACGATGGAATGATTTTTAGGGGAGGGTGAAGACGGGTGAAGAATTAAATTACTTTTTAAAGTTATTATATATAAGGAAATATATATAAGGAAATTATTAAATTAACGACAATAATTTAATTAAATCTCACAATAACCCAAAATATAATAACAAGTGCCTGAAAAATTGTAAACAAAAAAGGTAAACAAGTCCATCAGCTGTTTTCGTGTCTTCACCCTCCCCTAAAAATCATTCCATCGTTAGAGTAGGCATGCACAATCCTCTTGCAGAACAACAAAAACTTAAAAGCAATCGGCGCTTTAAGTGACTCCGACCGAAATATACTCTGACACTTTCTCAGTATATTGATTTTTAATGATTCGTAAAAATATATATACAGAAAACATTTTACTACTAACACTTAATCTTATTCCTAAATAAATTAAAAATGTATGCTGAAATAATAAAAAAAATAAAATAAAAATAATATAATTTCTTTCGTCATTTCATCAAATAACGAATACCCGAATTTTGTTAGGGTAGCAAGCCTTAAAAGTAAGAAAAATCAAAATTTTGTGCGCTGGCTTCGAAACGAAATCGCACGCACACATACACCCATGTATGTGAATGTGTGACACGCATACATACAAAGATCAACCGAAGCGCAGGCCAACCTTCTTCATCGCGCTCCGTTTAGAGACTGAGAAACAGAAAACATTTATTGCGAGAATGAGCGTAAGATGAACGAACGATGAGCGTAAGAGAGCGTAAGAAATCCGCTCTGGGGCCTGCTGGGGCCTGTCGCAAGAAATTTTCGCGTCCATTTTCGTTGTATGAAATGGGTTGTCTATATGCTGTATGGTTAGTGGTAGTATGTAGCTGTTGCCATGGTAACCGCAGAAGACATCCACTATACTATGTTAGATGGGATAGTTGGCAAGCCCTAGAATTCACCTGAAAACATGTGCATGCTGCACTTATCATAAATGAATATTTATATGCTCGGGCCCATCATGAAAATGCAAATCCACAGCAGTTGTCAAGTGACCAACACTAACGTACAAGACGGAGGAGTCATCCGTTGGTCGCGAACTACTATCAGCAGATTCTATTTTGATTCGCACGCCTCTGTATGTATGTGTGTGTGTGTATGTCACGTTCAAACAAAAGTCAAAAGCGAAACAAGCTGCAGCAAACACACAGCTGCGAGAAGCGGGCCAGTCGAGAGCGATAATTGCGTAACTTGTGCAAAATATCGGCAAGCAAGCCCCAGGGAGCGACCGAATTATAAGCAAATTCTGAAATATTTCTAGCGCTAGCGGTTCGTTTTTGTTTGTCGCTGCTCTCGGCTGACGGGCTAGCTGCTCGCTCCCTCTCGCTTGCTCGCTGTCAGCTTTTTATATCAGCTTGTTCGCAATTAATTCTCCGCTTTTCGCTTTGCTTTCTTTCTTCCACTGACATTGAAATACTTTTCGATTGATATGGGGCGGAGAGACCGACCCGAACTGCGAAATCGTATATAGAAGTGTATAAGTACTCACTGGTTGGACCGGAGGGGACCTGGATAGTAAGCGAGATTCCAGACCGGTGCTTCTGGCTTTTAGACGGGGCCTCGCCCCCAGCACCATTAGGGCCGGTAGCGGCTTCTACTGCCATAACTGCAGTAGCTGCAGTCTTCGCTTCCATTTCACACACCCGAAACGGATCACTTAATAATCAACAATTTTATATAAATTTCCACACGATGACTTGGAATTTCGCTTGTAATCTTGCGTGTTTCTATCGAATTCGAAAATTTGCTCCTGCTGCTTCTGGTATTATTTTCTTTTTGATTTTCGTTTTATTTTTTTGGAAATAATTCAATGTTTGAGAGACTATTTTTCCGAAACGTGTCGAAAGAAAGCTAAAAATTTTCAAACTGAACAAAAATAAATTTGTCACGCCGTCTACACCGAATGACATTTGACACTGTAACCCTAGGCCTACTCCGTTTCGATATCGGCAGAGGGGGAACAAGCATGGCAATCCTATGTGGCAATCCTAGGTGGCAATCCTAAAGTGTAAATATTTAAACTCGAAATTTATGACAACTGCAGTGTGCGGCGGCATCAAAATGCAATGTTCACCGTAACAATAACCGGAACCAGTCGGCCAGTAACAAGAGCAATAACAAACAACTGGCCCCGTTCTGGGGGGCCTACCACATCCCACATTCCATATAGACCATTTAGACCATAGACCATAGACCGTAGACAAAGCTGGCTGGCCTGGGCGCGAAAACGCAGCGAGCTGTGAGTGTAAAGTGTTGCCAGAAACCACAGGGGGCTTCAGTGGGGTGGACCAAAACACCGGGGGGCTCTGCCAGGAAAAGATCGCTTTATCGAGCCACTGCAAAGAAATGAATAATAAACAAGGACAATGGTTATAAAGCCGGTCCCTATATCGGAGTGAAGTTTAGGACAATGGGTCGGAGGAATACCCCCACAAACATATCGATAGCGAGGAGAGCGCATTCCTCATACGCAGTGTTGCCAAGTGTCTTTGTGATTCTCCCGAAAATTGAATAAAAAATGGAAGCCGGATAGAGGCTGGCCACATTGGGGTGGGGTGCCCGTAGCTGGTTATTCAGGTGACTGGCCTGGCCTAAAAACGATTTTAATTTGCAACACTTTGCCGGATTATGTACATGTTTGCTCTTCTCTTTTTTTTTATGGCATTTCTACCATCATTTTTTATGAATGTTTGTTATGGCAACAGGGTTGCAGCTTTGTTTGCCCGGCAGTGGCAACTCTGGCCAATGCACATGCAATGGAAAAAAAACAAAAACGTTTGCATGTTAAAGAACCTTGTTTTTTTGCCATTTCCATTTTTCCATGTTTGCTCAGTAGTGAGAGCCCCGCTTGGCAACTACCTCAATAAATTTTATGTTGATGCCGGCGATATGCGCAAAAACACACACATACACACAGGGATACACAAACATATCCTGGCTGCACTTGTGTCGGTTAGTTACACCCTCAGAGTCAGAAGCCATAGGCCAAGAGTGGAAAAAAGGAAAAAGGCCGGCCGGCTAGTGAGAACCACCCCTCCGCTGGCAGAGTGAAGCAGGGGTGGGTAAGCCGGATTCCGGTTTCGGGCCATGTCTATGCCAAGAGATAATGCCTGGTGTAAGGTTAGTAAATCAGCGATATGACAAATCGCCGCAAAGAGGAGCACTTAATGCGACTCTTTCAATGGGAGACAAAGAAGAATCAAAATTGCTGATAAAGCCAAATAAATCGCTTTGCCACATTTGTTCGTCACTCTGCCAGTCGTCCGTCTGGCAGACAAAGCGTCGCCACCGCCACTGCCACTGCCACTGCCAGTCTGGGCTAGAATTACAACAATGCTCCTCCTCTGAAACTGCCCCACTCCTGACTCAGCACCCCTGGACCTCGGCACTCGGAAGCCAGACTAAAGAAACTATTGCAGGAGGCAAGACGACGAGGGCGGCCGGTAGTAGCCACGTCTGGGGTTGTTTGCCGGGCCATCAATTGCAGCTGGGAAGTGTTAAAGTTTCTGGCTTTTGGAAGGTGAATTTCAAGAAGCCCTGGCCGGGCTATTTAAATGCTATTGCCATGGACAACGGCGACAACAATGACTCGGTACTGAGTACTCCCCTTACTAGGCGTTATTGATTTTCAAAGTCCCCACCGCCTCAGGCCACCAGCACTCCTTTTGTGCCCAGATGAGCCATCTATTGCGTCGGCCAGTTAAGCCGATTTAAGGCACAAAAATAACTCCAGGCTGGCTGGAAGAAACTGCAGACACTGCAGCCCTGACCACACTAAGACCGTAGCCGAACGAAACCAAAGCTATCCAATCCATGCCAAACCTGGAGGGCTCC